GCGAAGAAGAAGCGTCAGATCTAATATAATCTGGGAAAAGAGTGATTACCAGCTGACATTAATTAACCACTGAGTGTAATTACATTAAGGGATTAAAGCGCAGCATCTTCTGCGAAAGACTGCCAAAGTCAAAATCCTCTGAAGTGCCTACTTATGCGGGATATACAGGGTCACAAGGGTCTAATCGAAGAAGTCAGAAGAGTCACACAATTACCAAAAAAGGCAGCGAGTCCACAGGACTGTATAGGAAAGGCGCAATAAAGAGGACTAGGACATACGAAGTAAATGCAGAATAGTTGGAAAATTAGACCAAAGAGTCCGAATGGCATATATCAGAGCGGGAATGCGGCCAAGCACAGGAGGCGAGCTCTTCAAAAAAGAAGGAGACATGATAACTAGAACGGGAGTTTTATTCGTCTGACGTTTAGGACACACAGTTGAATTCAGCGCTGGAGATAGAACCAGACTTTAATGGTGAATTCGAGATTGAACACCAAACTTTAGGCGAATAAAAGTCTCTCCCCACACCAATCGTGCCTTTTTCGCCTGACTGACACAACTGGAACTCGCCTCTTGGCAGGTTTAGTGCACACAGAACAGGGCATTATCAGAGCTACCTGTCAGTGGTAGAGCGGCGCTCACCGATCGTTTTTACGGAGCTCACACGTCCCATTATGCCTTAGGGCTCTCCCTCTCTCGATCTCGAGCCCAACCAGCAGCCGCACAGAGACGTATGATATACACGGGATACCATTACCGAAAAAGATATGGCAGACTGGATTCACCATTTCTGGCTTCTCTGACGTCGTCAGCCACTCACACCCAACCCTGAAGTGTGGAACACCTGGGGTTCGATCGAGCCAACTGTCAGTTTAACGCTTCTAACCACTTAGCCACGGGTTTTTTTTGTCCTGTCCTGGTAGAGCGGGACGCTCACTGGTCGTTTGTCCGAAACGCACTCATCCCGTTATGTCCCAAGTGTTCCACACTTCGGGTTTTTGGTATGTCTGGCTTACGACGGCCAATAAGCCAAAAATGGTTATTGCAAGCTCCTTTCTCTTTGTCGATAATGCTATTCTACATGCCAGTGTTGGTTTCAGATTAGAATAGGGTGCACCCTTTTTCGGAAGTAGGGACGTGAATTTTTAGTATAATGAGTTCATGTATCTTCCTTAAGTGACAACTCAATAACCACTGCAACTATTTAAAATGATGTTTTTGGACAGATTTGAATAATTCATACTGACCCAACTGTGAAAAACTAGACCGCCACGGCGGTATTCGAACCCACTAAAGCGAGGGAGAGGCTTGTGTAGGGCTAACACTTTAAAAACCTGAGCTACGAGGCCTCGACAGAGAGTTCAGAGTTTAATTGCGTTTGGATCAAGTTACCTGTCCAATAAACTGTAACCTAGGGAATCCACCAATTCAGATAAAGCAGACTGACTGTCAAGAAGTATTTCCTAAACAATTAATCTAGAATATACCAGATGACTACCGGGCCCACTTGACTCAAATGTTGTTAAACTCACAGTTCTCTGTCAGGACGGCATAACTGATGTTGTTAGGACGGTGACTGTACTTAAGCTTGTCCATGTTGTTGCTGGGTTCGATTCCCACCGTAGCCGCCGAGTTTTTCACAATTAGTCACATGTATTGTAACTTTGTAAGTTTCTTAGGCACTCGCAGATGTGGAAGCTGACGGCGGTTCCTGGCTCCCCAAACAGGCGAACCGTTTTCTCTAGTTGTTAGAAAACTTAACACCTGTAGATTTCGAAAGCGGAGATTCCTTAGAATTTCAAAGCAGGTTAGTGACGATCGACTGGAGATGCGTCGTCCCTCAACGAACAAGAGAGAACTTCTGATCACTTGTGGACCTCAAACTGCTCTGATAGCAGCAACCAGGTCTCTCATAGCGTTGTGACCGCTGTGTACATCTCAAATTCATGGGGATTTGACTTAAATATTGTAGGGCTGACGGAAATTTATGGTCGTTACCAATGACTGCGGAGTTCTTCAAGGCTCTATTCTATCCCCTCACCTTTTCACCCTCCACACCGACGATCCAAGGTTAAGTATGCTGATGATGTGGTTGTGGAAAACCCTCCCAAAAATCGGACCCACCTCCAGTCTCTAAAGGATGGTCTAAACCATGTCCTAGTATGGTCGGAGGAAAATGGTCACCTAATGAACAAGCAAAACTCAGTTCACTGTATTTTCCGGCTGAGGCCCTCTTCTAGTCCTGAATCCTCTAACATCCTTCCAAACGAGGTATCCTCTTTCAGGTATTTTGGAGTTATTTGTCATCAAATCTTTCTTTTTCTCTCCATATTGAGTCATTTTTTACTAAATTTCGTAAAGTTCTTTATTACATTCGTCGTTTACGTACCTAACACACACCTCAACCCCTATTCTGGCAACTCATCGATGCCTGCATTCTTCCTCTTATTCTATACAGCTCTCCTGTCATTTTTCCTGCTTTGCTCAGAAAAGGTCTTTTAATTTTAAAACGAGTCCTCCGAATGCTTTCTTCTGCCGCTGGTGTTTCTTATCCCCTTCCAGTCGATATTATCCTCCAACATTTTAATACGATCAGACAATTTGCTGTTCGAATTCTAGATGATATTGCCCATCCCTAACATTTTGATCTTATTTCTGCGAAGTATTACCGCCCGATGCGCAGCGGATTCCGGCATTTCGAGATTCTGTATTGCCATTCCTGGCGCGCTATCTTACCTGTGATGAGATGTAAATACAGCAGTTAAGATTTGAACTGTCCCCATAAAAATCGTTCCTTTTGTGTTAAACTTTTTGGCTCTGGAATAATCTATTAACTTATTTACTGCCCATAGTGAATAGAGCCAATTTTTTTTCCTTAAAACTTTGAATTTATGATTTCAAAATAAGGCGAACTCCTCTCTCTCCTAGTCCCTAGTGAAGTTTTACTGAACAAATTCAGAGCCTACTACACTGTCAAGGTACTGGTGTTCCAACTTGAGCACGAAGCCTGCGCCTTGTTTCAAAACTAAGGTAAGCATTCTCCTTGCCGTTTTCAATCATCCTGATGCAATCCACATGCAAAACAGCCGCGAAGACCGCAATGTACAGATCGCAAGTCGTTTTAAAAGTGAGCAGTCTCGACACGAATGGAAAGGTGAGCTCCAAAGAACGAGTTAAAGAGAGGAAACGTGATCGGTGAAACAACAATTTTATTTGCCTGACCATGCGTGGTCAGTCGACAGTAGCAGATACCGTAGCTATGCTAACTCATGAAATGTTGACCGAAATTCTGAAATTCGTTCTTGACTCGAAAGGATTACTTAAATGGGGTCGAAATATTGATCCTCATGCAACATAGTCACATGATAATTTGGTTACTTTAGGATGTCGACTTTTGAACAAACTTCTTCTTTCCAGCCGACTGCAAAAACTACACTCTAAGAAAAATGGCTGCTTACTTGGCCAGATTTTTTCTCATTGATTTCGATGCCCTTATAAATTCAAATATTTTTCCCGGAAAACAGGCATAAAAATATTCACTTTTTTATTGATTCTGTAGAAAATAACGTCTTCTTTAAATTTTTACTTGAATGAAGGGTATTATTCTGTTTCCGAAAAAAACGTCTCCAATTCCTGAATAATTTTGAACCCGACCCGTCGTTAAAATTGCACTCGCCATCGGGACAGCAGTCGGTATCGCACAACGATACTGTGTGCAGTAGACCCTAGCCGTTTCCTCTAAGAATGGCAGAATCCATTTACAGGTGCGCACGAGGGTTTGCCCTCAGATTAAGGAAACCGTGCTTGTGAGAAGAGAGAGAGAGAGAGACTAATTTCAGGCAGGCTTTCTGCAAAAAGGACTCCATTGCAGACCCTGTGGCATTCTCTGTCATACATCAAGGGCGTTTAAGAAGCGACCGAGCGCATTGCTGCGGAGCTAGGTGTTGGAATTGCACACCGCCCCAAAGCCACCATGCGCAGTAGAACCATAAAAATTAAAGACCGGCAAAAAACTGAAGAGCAATCAGGAGTAGTGCATCGAATTCCGTGCCAAAATTGTCCTTGTAACTACACAGGGCAGACTGGGCGCATGCTCGGATCGCGCATACACGAAAATAAGCTGGCTGTGCGACGAGACGACGAATTATCACAAGTGGCCGCCCACACCTACGAGTTAAATTTCGTGGCCACCAAAATAGTTGCCCACGCCCGAAACAAAACAGGCCGAGAATCGATTGAAGCCTGGGCCTCGGATGAGAACTCGGTCAATCGATTTATTGATCTAGCGCCGGCGTACAGAGCCCTTTGTAGTCACCTCCAGTCGTGCGCCGTCGGTCGATGATTGGCCTGCATGCCTGTCGCTTGTTCTGTTGCTGCTACTACCTCTGACGATGGACTCCTGTACGAGTCTGAAAGCTCAGGACAATAAACAAAGTGCTCCAGCGCTCGAGTCTTCTTCACCAATCACTCTGTCAGGGCATAACCCTACTTTCCCTTGTCCGCGCGTGTCACACACATGATACCTCCTTTGCGCATGTGAGATGGGCCGCAGAGGATGCCGGTGCTCTCAAAAACGAAGGTGGCTATAAAGTCCAAATAGGCGGGGGGAGGGGAGAATTCCAGTCCGGAAGAAACACGGCTGATTGGTTTTTATGAAACATTTATGCGACCTGTCCGAGTCTAACCAGATTCGAACTGCCTTAACTGTGCTATTACGTATAATCCGCAACTCCAGGTCAGGTGACAGTGCGTTCCCCGTCCAGGTCTGCAACATTTCTACCTACTCTGTGGGTCCCTGAAGCAACCTCTCCTAGGCCACAGGGGCCAAGGTGATCGTTCTTACGCACCCCTTTCAAGAACACAAAGATCTAACACAACGCTTAACCCCCCCCCCCCCGCCAAATATAAGTCCATCTTCACTCGTAGTATGACGCATCTGCTCAGAGCCACGACCTGACCCGACTATGTGAAAAGTGCAAAATTAAGAGAGTAAAAGTGGCTCACGATAGGGAATCCTGAGGCGAGAGGTTGGATGCGCCGATAGCTACAGGGCAAGCTCACCTCGGTCTCCTTTGGACAGCGAAACACGCTGGGTCCGAAGACAATTCCAATCGCCGTAGCGGACATCTTGTTTCGGCGTTCGCTGCGGACCACTTGGTTGAGGAAACAGCAGAGAAATTGCAAAAGAAGGAAATTCGGTGCAGGCAGTCTTGCTAGAAGGTGCTTCACGTTGGCAATCAGAAGAGTCGTGTCACTGTCGTGGCAACCGTAGGCCTGAAGGAGGCAGACAGGGACAAAAGTTCATTCAGACGAAAATGGGAGGAGAGGTTCTCACAAAAGGCCCAGATGACGACGTACGAACGTACCCGTCACGGAAACGGTCAACTACCTTTGTGATTTTATTGCCGACAACCAACAGGATACAGGAATGCCTGTGAATGCCTTCAAGTAAATGTACTTGAGGAGTAACCTAAACTTGCAGTTCCTATTTGACCCCAATCTTTATAGACAGACGGACGGCGTAGTTATGGGTTAGCTCCTTGGCCCGCTTTTGGTGAATGTATTCATGGGAAAGCTAGAAGCTTTCCGGCTACGTCACCAGATCAACGGTCTGAGGTACTAAGGGCGGTACTAGGAGGACATATTCGCAAATGCACCGAAACAACGTGACATCTCAATTCTACTGGAGGACGTAAAGCAGGCGCACCCATCAATAAAATTCCCTCTGGAAGAAGAAAAGTCCGGTTCACTTCCCTTTCTGGATGTGCTTCTGAATAGAAGACCTGACGGCAGCATTCGAAGTAGCGTCTATCGTAAGAAAACGTGGTTCGGACAACACACCCATTTTGGGAGTTTCGTACCGCTAAACGTTAAACGTAATTTAGTCTGCTGTTTGACAGAAAAAGTGAGAAGAATCTGCTCAGCTGATAACTTTGAGAAAGACCTTACGATCATCGAAAACCTCTTTCGCCGAAACGGGTATCGTGATCGATTCATTGCTAAGAACATGGACGAAAGACCGCAAAAGCCCCCGATATCAGGGTCCCATTTCAAGAGGATGCACCAAGTGAACTTTTAGGAAGACGCCGAACCCAAGCTGTATCACACACCTTTCCAGCAGCTGACGCCCGTGTACTGTTCTCCACCAGTCCCATCCTATACAGCGAGGGCAAGGGCAAACTACCAGCTCAGACCACCTCTATGTGTATTTACTCCTTCACCTGCTCCTGTGGGGCAGAATATATTGGTCTCACGAGCCGGCGTTTATCCAAGAGAATGAAAGAACATCTCCCAGCATGGTTAGGAAAGGGACAAATAAAGAACATCAACAGCTCGATCCTCGCGCACATGGTAGACAAAGACCACCGTGTAGACGCCAGAGAGGCCTTCAGAGTGATCTACAAGGTCCCATCAACCTATTCAAAACTGCTTGAGCAGCGCTTGTTGGCTACGACAGAGGCGGCTGCAATCAGACAACAAAGTGCAATTCTGTGTTCAGGTCTAAGCAAGACGTTGGTTAAAAAACGAACGCATAAAGTATGATTTAAGCGGCGACAAATTTGTTTTTTGGGCAGGAAGGTTTTAATGCATTGACATATAGCAACCGAAATTGAGCAGGAAAATTTAAAAAATAAACATTATGTGTCTACAACGATTGCTTCTCAAGTCTCTGAGCTGAGGTCATTGTAGATAATGCACCAGACCGTCTACAACAGACGACCCAACCTTGTACGATTAAACACCAAACCGCAATAATCTTGTCGGACTAAAACCCATTAAAATAAGGATAGTAGTTATTCTCTGCATGCCGCAGATGCTTGGGGGCCTTCACTCGATCCTTACACTTTAAGCATTCAGACGGACACGGTAACGTGAATAACGGTCATCGGATGTAAAATCAAGCCATCCCATTAGTCATCCCACAAAGGACACAGCTAGGCACGGTACCGCTTTCAGTGGAAGTAAGAATTGAGCGAAGTGACTGCAATAAAAGCTAAGCAAGTTCATCTCACTAGAAAAGGCTGAGAGCAAAAGTAAGCCCTACATCTTATGCAGGACAGTGATCGAATTCGTCGCCAGAGATAGGGCAATTTATTGTTAAAAGTGAGGGTGGGCTTTCAAGGCACCTACTTCACTCAGTCGTTCAACACAAAGTATGTCCCAATGGAAAGACAGGAGTGAAAAAACTCGGAACGGATGAGGGCCGGATGGCTAACGTAGCCTAAACCCTCGCTCGTTCGTGCCCCAATACGTGTACTAAGACGATCATAATATATTTGATAACACTAGTATCCTGTTAAGATATTGCAGCCTGAATTTCAGTCCAAAGCAGGACCAGGGAAGCATATCAACAGGAAAGTTTCCGAGCTGAAAGACTTCGTGGGATTTTTGCACCGAGCAAAGAAAACGCTGAGCCAATAATAGAAATTGATGCGGGAGATCGAGCGCAATTTCTCTCTCTTAACTCCCTCTTCCAGTATGCACTGGTGTCAGGTCAAGTGAAGTTGAGCGAAGAGAATATGACGCTCAGTGGCAACTGGAACTGCTGTCGTCCCGAGGAAGCTCTTCCTAAATGAAGATCCTACGCAACTGCCTGGATGAAGCCTAGATTAAGGAATCCAAGACAAACACACATAGGCCTGCCGCAATGATTGTAGGTCAACGCTAGCAAAGTTGTAGGGTCGAGGAAGGACAATGTCAGCTGTTTTGAACGCAAACAGGTGCTGACTGCGCATTTAGCAGGATCGCAGCGGCGGGAACTGCCTGGCAACGGACATCGGGGAGGTTACACAAAATATACGTGTGGCAGAGGAAACCATAAAACTGCAAGGAATTGCTGTCCACCTGGGTTTCGACCCTGCGCTCCACAACCATGATTCGCGAACACCCCTCGCAAAGCAGATCAACTGCGCGGGTGAATAGGCGTAAGGAGAAGAGAGCGCCTTCATGCAATCCCTAGTTTCATTTTCATTAATTTTGAGAAGAGATCTTAAAGCAGGACATAAACGTGCAGGGCATTTCGTCCCTAGTAGGCGTTGCTATTATCTTACCTGACAGAATAGCGTGTCTCGCAGTCAAAGGATGCGTTTTGGTGAAAACGGACACAGACGAAAGACAAGTACTGCAGCGTCCTAAAAACTCGTCAAGCGCTACGAAAACAAAATCTCTGTAAGATGCGGTTATGTAGCCGTACCTAACAGACACAATACTGTTGATCTACTTAACTATTTTGATATGCTTTTTCGATTAGGAAAAATTCCCTGGATGGGGTTATAAAATTCATCACGCGGCATAGTTCCATGATGTCTCGAACTCGGTAGAATGTTGGCTTTTTAATACAAGTCCTTGTTGCCTGTAAAAACCGCGCTAGGCAAAGCTGGCTGCTTAGGTAGTGTGCATTTTTCACATCTATTTTCGGTGGTTTTGTAGAAAATATTCACAAAAATCAGCTTTCTCACATTTTTTGCTAGCAAATCACGCCATCGTCACGTTCTATACTTGAAGAAAGAGTGCCTTTGGGATTTGAAAAAGTTTCTAATTATGCAATTTTTTAAGACCAAGCAATGCCCATTAATACAGTGTCGTACCATTCCGTTTCTTAATACTCCTCTTCAAATGCGCAACATCGTCCCCATCCATTGGAATTTTTTGATTTCTACATGGTACCTCCTCAAAGGTGTGAATGAGTACATGCTTTTACCTAAGCAAAAAAGCATATACCTTGTAGACTGAAATCGCTAAACGCTAGTCCAATGGCTGATCTGGTTTAAAATTGTTCGGGAATTGGAAAACTTGTCAAAACCAAAATGTACCCTTTCTTCGAGGACGACGTGATTTGCTACCAAATAAATGTGAGAAAGCATATTTTTGTGAATATTTTCTATAAAAAGGCATATTTTGTGCATTGTTTCTATAAAATATATTTAAATGTATAAAGCCATGAGAAATGTGACAAATTCATATTGTTTAAGTAGTAGTTTTTAACAGAGTGCGGTGTCGAAACGAGGTCAAAAAGAAGTGCACTTGAAGACCAATATCCGGGCGAGTCCGAAATATCATGAAACTAAGCGGCGCGATAATAAATATTACAGCCGACCCATGTAACCTTAACTAATCAAAAGTACATTTCAGAATTTCGGCCACTCATTGTGGCATCACTGAATACCCATAAAAACCCCAACTTGCAGTAGGAGAATTAGCAAGAAATACAGACACTGGTGTATTAAAAAATTATCAGTATGCCTTAGAGGCAGTCATGCTACTTGTGGCAAGGGAAATAAGAGGTAGGCAAATATTAGATTACGCAGAATGGTATTACCGACAAAGACAAGGGAGAATGGAATGGCCATTTCTAGTTTCTTAGCCGTCGTCACTCAGTCATACCCAACCCTGAAGAGTGGAACACCTGGGGCTCCATCCCGCGACCTGTTAGTAAGAAGTCCAACGCCTCTAACCGCTGAGCCACGTGCTCGTTGGCTTGTCAGTTGCGATCGGAATATACAATGGTAGAGCGGCGCTCACCGATCGTTTCTTACGGAACTTGCTCATCCCGTTGTGTCTTACGGGCTCTCACTCGAGCTCAATCAGCAGAATGGACAAAGACAAGGGAGACTGGAATGGCCATTCCTGGCTTATAAGCCGTCGTCAGACAGTCAGACCCTATCCCGAAGTTTGGAACACCTGGATTGCCATCTTGAGCCGTACTGACCCATACCGGCATTGTTCCGCGAACTGATCTGTATGATTTTGTTAGTGAATTGGATCTTCACTGGGGTTTTCAAGCAATCCAACGTTTAAGGGACTTTTTGCTGACTGCATAACCCTCGCCGTATATGATGGACCACAGCCCAGATCAATTTCATGGCCTTGAACTGATTGGCACCTTGACAAGTCCTTTTTCAGCAGGCGTCGCGGACGAGTAAACGTTGTAGAGTTCAACATGCAGGAGATACAACACTAGGGCAACACCACTTCACCCCGTGAAGGTGTAGCGGGCAGCCATCATGACTCGTCTGGCGTCATTGTTCAAGACCTCGCTGCCTCAAGGTCATTCACCCCTTGCAGCGACCCGTTCCAGACGCACTGACCTGAAGTCACACGATGGACAGTTCGGGCATACCTGCGTCCGCACAGTCGCAGCTGCCCATGAGGCCACTTGAACGCACCGCCCCTTGCAACCACAGCCTTAGCCACTGGGACACCACCCCTCGGCAAATGCAACACACACTGACTGGCCACCACTTGAGCTTGGCCCACGAGCCTACAAAAGCGGCTGCCACCACTATCTCAGTGGCTCTCAGGGCTGACTGGACGCAGTCGACACCAACCCTGGTTTCGCCAATGGCCACTGCCGCCTGAGAGGACAACTCCGGGTTCTGTGCACAATAACCCCCTCATTCTGGTTCCTTTTGTCTCCTTCTCCCTTCAAACATGGGATTTGGCCTGACGATAGTTGCGCTCTGAGTACAGACATACTCACTTACACCGCATAACCACAACAAAGGCTTCGATGTGTAAAAAGCCCCAGCTCTGAGGTACTATACAAACAAGAAACCGAAGACGCCGTCGCAGACGTACCGTGAGAACGTCTTTGGTGATGCCAGATGGTACAAGACCACCAGGCAGCTCACGAAGAAACAGTTTCAGCAGGCTGGCGGCCGCATGCACGTCGTTCTGACGCTGCAGCTCGTCCAGAAAAGTGGTCGTCTCCGCAGACTCGCTGCTGTTTGCCGGCTGCTGGAGCTCCTCAGCGCGGGCGCGCAGCTGCTCCACCACGCGGGAATTGCCGTTCACTCGAAACACGCCCTCACATTCAAGGCCGCCGACAGCGCAGAGGAAGGCGCAGAGTTGGCGCACCACGACTGGCACGCCCGGACTCTCCTTTTCGTAGAGTTCAGTCAGACTGACGCCGAAGGAGGCCGCGCTGGGGGCGTCCATCTGGGCGGACATCTCGGGCCACGCACTGCCGCTCAGTTTCTTTTTGCTTGAAGGACTAGTGTTGAACCGGCGGATCAATTTTTCCATAACCATGCCCCTTTTGGCAGCAAGGCAGGAGGGGGGGGGGAAGGAAATGGAAAAGAAAGGCACTTGTGATATTTGCATTAAGAACATGATGACTCCTCTCGGACAAAGTTAATTGTATAGCATTGACATACTGGCAGTCGTAGTAAGTGGCATTTGGATAACGAGATATCTGTGTAGGTCACTACCGGCCCATTTGAGCTACTATCTTACCGACTCTTCTACTAAAATGTCGCTACAGGTTCTCACCAACAAGGAGGTCACAAAGGCCGCTACAAGAGCACCATAAAGAATTTCTTTAAGTGCTTGCAAATCGACAGGAAAAACTGGGATGACTTCACACAGGATAAATCGGCCTACGGAAGGGCAATGAGAATTGGAAAAGCAATTTATCAAGCTGACTGAAAAGTCGCTGTCAAGGTCAAAAGGGTGGTTTACGGTCCACAATGCCAACACTCAGCCCTTTCAAACATGCCCACACTGCCAACGAACATTCCACACGCGGATTAGTCTAGTCGGGCATCTTAGAACCTAGTGACACAGCAAGTCAACAACACCAACTGCCACCTCCACAACGGCCTCCATCGTCATTCCTGCTCCAACACCCCACGGTGTCCACGACAGCCTACCTCACCACCGATGATTCAACTCTCGATGCCCTAGGGCTGTCGATCACCGTCACCTCAAGCATCTTTGGCACAACCCCACAGAGACCCGGACGACAACTATCTCGCTCAGTCCCGCCACCGGTGTGAACATTCCCTACTCTCACCACTCCCACCCCCACGTCCAGCGATATAGACTCGATCCCAAACTATCCTCATTGCGATTGCACATTGGCCTCACGCATTGACCCGGTTTGTCGCTTGCGAATCCATCGCGCGCCAGTGGCAGGAGGTCCCAAATAGGCTCGTCGCATCGGTGTCTGCTGTCTGCACGGACCATGTACATCCACTCACCGCTTGGGCCAATTCGGGCACATACGTATCCACGAGAGCGCAAAATCGACACACCAAGCATGCCTTGTGCACCTGACAGCTCTTCAATCCCCAGTCGTACCTGATTCCCATACACCAGCGCAGCCACTACTAGCAGCATAGCAAACCCAACCGACATGATATCTCCCAACCTGTCCTGCCCACGCTGTCACTGCGCGTTCACCTTGCGCATCGGCCTAGAGGGTCACTTGCGAAACCATCACACAGACACTGGCGAGCCAGTGCCTGGAGCACCAACAAACACCCACCGACTTCGACTCAAATACCCGTATGGTCCTCGCATATGAAGCCGCCTCCATGAAAATCTGTGGTTAATCATCACAGACCAGACCACATCACCGCACAATCCCTAACCAGAGCAGGCACCACATACAGTAGGTGGACTAACTCACGAAATGTCAACCGAAATTCCGAAATGCCTTTTCGTTTCGAAAATATTAATTAAGTAGGGTTCTAAAACTAGTCAGCCTGCAGCATAATTCTATAATATTTCAGTTACCTCAGGATACCGGCTTTCGAATAAACTTCCTTCCGGCTGCATGTAAAAACTACACTCTGAAACCATGACTACATAAGTAGCATGAATTGTTCTCATCGATTTCGATGCCCCTAAAAGTCCAAGTATATTTCATGGAAAAAATGCATAAAAATATTCATTCGGTAGAAAATTATGTCTTCTTCTAATTTTATACTCGAAGGAGGGACATAATTCGGTTTTTAAAAAGTTTATAATGGTGGGACTTTTAAATACCGTGAAATGGCCGTTCACAAACCGTCATATCTCTGCATTTACCAGTGTGGCTTGTAAAGTTAACAATATGGATCAAATCCACTGCTTAATGTTATGAACCCTATATGGCTCCCATTTATTACTGTACAGAAATGTGTGGTTTTCCGTACGCCAAAATTATACGGCTTGTAGTTTGCAAACCCTGAATCCACGTGTGACGGTAGAGCGGGTTCAAAATTATTCGGGAATTAGAAAACTTTTTAAAACCGAATTATGTCCGTCCTTCGAGCACAAAATTGGAAGGTGACGTAATTTTCTACCGAAAGGGCAAAAGACTAAATCATTTTATGGATGTTTTCCATGAAATATAATTGGACTTCTAGGCGCATCGAAATCGATGGGAAAAATGCATGGTATTTAAACAGTCATTTTTTACAAACTGTAGTTTTTGCATGCAGCCGGAAGGAAGTTTATTCGAAAGTCGGCATCCTTAGGTAACTGAAATATTATAGAACTATGTTGCAGGCTGACTAGTTTTACAATCCTACTTAATAAATCTTTTCGAAAGGGAAACCCATTTCGGAATTTCCGTTGACATTTCATGAGTTAGCCCACCTACTGAATGTACAACCCCAACATCATACAACGCAGGCCATACTCACGTAAGTGTGTCCTTCGACTCCTTTTCCACGTGGCTCCCCCGCCACATGTGAGATCCGGGCAGTCTGACCCTGTTTGAGATCCTCACGTGAGTACGGGCCGTCAGGTGGTTAGCGTGCCACGCGCATACGGGTTACTCTTAGCCTAGTCAGCCATTGTGCCCGATTTCCACACCAACTGACTGACCGCCTCGGACAGAGGACTGATGCCTGAGGGGGAGAAGAGAAGGTGAAGTCGGCTGTAAGCGCAATAAACGAGTTAGTGCGCTTGAATCTATTACGGTGCGCTGAAAGCCTGCCAACTGACCAGACATTTCGGTCTCCCTTTCAGGACGGAGTCAGGCTGCACTGGCTCCAACCTCTACGACACTCCCGCTCAGTAGCGACCCGAGTCCGTTCCCTTTTTGTCGTGCGAAATCCTGGTCAGTTGAAATTGGTGACCGAGGGGAGGGGGGGGGGGTT